TTTTTTTTTTTGTAGTTGTCGTTGTTTAGCTGGCCTGGGCCAGGTTCAAACCCACCAGCCTCAGTGTATGTGGTTGGCACCATAATCACTGTGCTATGGGCACGAAGCTGTAGCTCAAACTCTTCAGCTCAAGTGATTTTCTTGCCTCAGCCTCCCAAGTAGCTGGGACTATAGGTGCCAGCCACAATGCCCAGCTATTTTTAGAGACAGGGTCTTGCTGTTGCTCAGGCTGGTCTCAAACCCACTACATATTTCTTATGCTGGAATTTACTTGAGGGTTTCCTTTAATCTTTTTTTTTGTAATATAAATTCAACCAATATTTATTTAGCAACTTCTATATGCCAAGCTCTGTATCAGGTGTTTGGGATATTCCAGAGCTGTGGTCCCCAGACCCTGGGCTGCAAACTGGTTCCAGTCCCTGGCTCTTTAGGAACTGGGCCACATAGCAGGAGGTGGGCAGTGAGCAAATGAACAAAGCTTCATCTGTATTTATAACCGATGCTTAATCTGTATTTACAGCTGCTGTCCATCATTGGCATCACCACCTGAGCTCTGGCTCTTGCAAATCAGCAGCTGCATTAGATTTTCTTAGGAGTGCCAACCCTACTATAAACTGCACACGTGAGAGGTCTAGGTTATGCTCCTTATGAGACTCTAATAAATGGTGATCTGAGGTGGAGCTGAGATGATGATGCCAGTACTAGGGAGCAGCTGCAAATACACATTATCATTAGTAGGGAGGTTTGACTACACAGAGACCATAATAAATAAATTGCCTACAGACTCACATCAAAATTATCCCCCCATGAGGGGCATAGTGGATCACACTTGTAATCCTAGGACTCTGGGAGGCCAAGACAAGAGGATTGTTTGAGCTCAGGAGTTCAAGAGCAGCCTGCACAAGCGCGAGACCCCATCTCTGCTAAAAATAAAAAAATTAGCCAGACTTGGTGATGTGTGTCTGTAGTCCCAACTACTCCAGAGGCTTAGGCAAGGATTGCTTGAGCTCAGGAGTTTGAGGTTACTGTGAGTTAGGCGACAGAGTAACACTTTATCTCAAAATAAAACAGGTCCAAGCACAGTGGCTCATGCCTGTAATCCCAGCACTTGGGAGGCTGAGGTGAGTGGATTGCCTGAGCTCACAGGTTTGAGACCAGCCTGAGCCAGCAGGAGACCCCCATCTCTAAAAATAGCCGGGCATTGTGGTTGGGTGCCTGTAGTCCCAGCTGCTTGGGAGGCTGAGGCTAGAGAATTGCTTAAACCTAGGTTGATGTTACCTATGACTCCATGGCACTCTACCAAGGATGACAGAATGAGACTGTCTCAAAAAAACAAACAAAACCCCAATAAAGCCATCCCCCCACCCTGGTCTATGAAAAATTGTCTTCCATGAAACTGGTCCCTGGTGCCGAGGGAACCCTTTTTTTTTTTTTTTTTTTTTTTGCTTTAGATAGTCTTTCTCTCTGTCACTCGGGTGGAGTGCAATGGCATGATCATAGCTCACTGCACCCATGAGGTCAAGTGATTCTCCTTCCTCAGCCTTCTGAGTGGCTGGGACTAGAGTTTGGCCACCACACCCAGCCTAAACTGGGACACTTATAAGCGTGAAATGAGGTGTTGTTAATTAAGCTGGATGACAGAAGTAAAGCAGCTCATTCCCAGATATATGGGACTTACCAACCCAGTTTTAGAAAATGTAAACATCTGGAAAACTGGTATCATCAGCCATAAATAGGTTAGTGAAACTAAAGTCAATGAAGGCGGCACCCATAGCTCTGTGGGTAGGGCACTGGCCACATACACTGAGGCTGGTGTATTTGAACCCAGCCGGAGCCAGCTAAACAACAATGACAACTACAACAAAAAAAAAAATAGCCAGGTGCTGTGGCAGGCGCCTGTAGTCCCAGCTACTTGGGAGGCTGAGACAAGAGAATCA